AAATTTCGTATATGAAATAATAGGTAAGTAATATGATCAAAATTATATATTTTACTATCATATCTGTTGCCCTAGTCGAACATCTTGTAAGCAAAATCTTGAAAAGATATTTTACATGTATATCACTTGGCCGTATCAAAGAAATCTGTACCCAAGATCTTGGCAAGATCTTTTCAAAGATTCTTACAAGTCAAGATTTTAAAAAAAGATACTATGTTCTATTATCTTTCCCCAAGATCTTAACTAAAACAAAAGTGACACCATTAGTTTATTAACATATTTTAAAATTATTGAGCTGTTTGGAACTACGCTGAAAAACTGTACCATATAAATTTGTTAGCCTCACTCATATTTATGAAATTTAGCAATTGTGGGGGCAATTGAAAACCAATAGAATAAAAGCAATGAAGAACAAAAATGGAAAAAAAAAAGATTATTCAACAGAAAATTTATTAAGTAGTAAGGATGCTTTTTAGCTCGATGTAGCATGAATTCAAGAAATATTCGTATTTTATAAGAAGACCGTTAGTGTCTCGTTACGATATTAAATGTTTTACGACTAAATTTTTTCAAAAAAAAATTTTGTTGAAGAACAATAAAATAAACGGCGTTTAAATTTTAGTCAAATATTTGTATTTAGATAAGTCTTTTAAGTTCTTTCTTTCTGTAGTAACTTTGATAAGACATTTTAGAAATAAAAACTGTTAAATTCATTTTTATTTCTAGATTTTTTAAAATTGTTATTTAAATTATGAAATGAAGATTTCTTACATCTATAAAAATCGGTTTGATGTCATCATTATCATTTGATAGATAAAATTCAAGGCGAATGATGATTCAACATCATTAAGAACAAAAAATTAACATTCTAAAAAGATTAGAACCGATATTCATGAAAGCAGAGAGTATCAGTTTTTCTACACTGTAGCTACTTTTGATTTTGAATTTGCATAAATAAACATATTTTTACAGTCTTAAAATTGCATATATAACTGAAAACTCGTTGCATTCTTATAGTTCGTGGTTTTTAAAAGTCGTTTAAAGGGAATTCAGTTCGAATTACATGTTCAGATAAATACTTTCCACGACTGAAAGTAAATTAAAAAGTAGGATTTTTACAGAAGATATTAAAAATCCTAATTATTAGTATGAAAGATCTAATGACGAGGCAAAACAACCAGTAAAAACTATCAAAAAAGACCAGATATAAAATTCAAGATATTAAATATATGTACTCAAGATCTTATGGATCTGTATCCAAGGTCTTACGAATTTGTATCCAAGATCTAATTCAAGATCTTGGTACAAGATAATATGATTATCTTGTACCTAAATTTTCAAGATCTATTCAAATTTCTATACCTTATATCTTGGCCAAAATCTTGCTTACAAGATGTTCGACTAGCGTAATAATACCTATCGTTGTCGATATATATTTTGGCCTACAGATGAAAATAATACCTAGATCAAGATGCTTGTGAAAAAGTATCTGAAAAAAACATTCATAATTACCTTATCGAAGTCTATCATCGTATCGTGAGAATTCCATGTTGGAGTGAATTTTACTATTTTATCATTTGTTGATATGTGATGATTTTTTTTCGCTGAAGTAAACAGAATGTTACGGGAAAAACATGATAACGAAATAGAGCATGGATTACATGTAATAAGCAAAATATTTCTAGAACAATCTATATCGAAACAAAACTTTTCACTAGTATACTAGAGCTCATTTTCAAAACATAAGATAATTAGTAGGCCAGCACCTAAACTGAAATATTGATGTATGCTATTTTTCGAACTCTCTAGAACAAATCTAATATTCAATCATCAATGGAAGTGTCTATGACTTGCCTCGACCTGTATCAATAAGAAAGGAATTTTCATTTCATTTTATTGATTGTAAAATTATAGGAGTACAAGTAAAACCAACATCATTTGTTATTTATGGTATTTCGTTTATTTTTTCATATTTTCGAATAGTTCTTCTAGCATGATGTAATGATGACAACCGTATATCTGTTGAATCAGATAATTTTAATATTCATCGCTCTAATACAGTTTATCTTGTTTCTTGATTATTAGTTGCACGATCAGCAACATTTTCATGAAATTTTCTAAGTAAAATTTTGACTGAATCACGAACACAAACTGCTGTATGATCATACTTTTGTTTTAATATCTAACAATTGTTTTAGCAGAGTGTGGACGTGGGGTTGAGTGTAAATTTCAGACGACCCACCCTTTCCCGTCAACATACGTGAAAGAATGCCAACTTTACGATAGTAAAAGCTGCAAAATACATATTTTAAACTGCCTCTATTTACAACATTTGATCAGACGCAGAAATACAGTCAATATTTTAATAGTAGCATGAATAGTTAGTATACAATCCGTTTGTTGTACAATACGGCTATTCAAATCAATCTTTAAAGTATTCGTGAATGAGACTGTGCTTGCAATGTTTTCACACCATAAGCTATGTGAAATACGCTATGAAATCGGCTTTTACAGACTGGCGCTACACAATCCATGCAGTCATGCTCACCGAATAAATTTTAACTATAGAGTAGTATTTAGTATTTAAGCCCGTTGTATACAGTGGTTTGAGTACGAGAAACCGCCAAACATTATGCGACAATGCTTACACCTAGGTGCGCTGCGTGCTTCTGCCTCATTTCGTCTTACCAACAAATTTTGCATAGGCTAATCAGCGTCTTTCATGTTTTTGTAGTACTCCTCAACTATTTCAATGACATATCACGAGCTTCAGACAGCTCTAATAGGTACTCGCTTAGGCATAAGAAGCCGCGTGGAACTGTCACAGGCGACTGGACTGTGTACCGCGTGTCTTGATTTGGGTTGAGGATAAAAAGAAAAACATATGGTTAGAAAAGTAAATTCGTGAGAAGTTAGACACAAGTGGAGTAATCTCTTCCATATTAGTGAAAGCATAAGGTATCAATAGTAGTTGAAAAATACATTATTTTCGTTCATTGGGAAACCCGTGTAATATTAACGACGAAAAAGCTTGACAGTCATATGTTTTTACGGAGGGGTAGGGGAGGGGTGTGGGCGAAGGTGAAGTGAATCGCCTCTCATTCAACGACAAATATCCCATGACAAAAACTACACCCACATCAACATCATATGTTTTTCTAGAGTTATTTGGTATGCTACACCGAAAGAGCATCAAGCCAATGGAGTAACCATGATATGTGTTCATTACAAAGTATGACCTCAAAAGACATGTATCAGTTGTTGAGGTTTCCTTGTAAGTGATAATAAAGAGGACGCTAATTGTAATGACCTTCATTTCAGCGAGAAAATGATATGCAATATGAAATATTTTCTACCAGAGAGAAATCTAAGTTCTTGATTGCTACAGTCAACACACTAAAGTAAAATATTTGCAGACTGTGTCACAAAAATGCCTCGTAGTCCTGATTTGTCGTGATCAATTGACTAATCATTCATTCATCGTTTTCTTTTACGCATATAACTGACATATAATGAAGATGATGAAGTATACTAAACTTATATATTTTCATACATCTTTTTTTTCCACACTATCTCTCGATTAACCTTTGGTCAAAAACCTATTGAAATATCGACCGATGATCGAGATTAGACCACCGCTACGTTGTCTAATTTGGACAAAATCCACTCAAGAAGGTTGAATCTTAGGATTGTATCATCTTGAACTCCAATAGTAGGTACTTATAATTTAAATAAAATTGGGAATATAATAATTGTTCGGTTTGACAGAAAAAAAAACAGACATGCCGAACGGCAAACTCGAGCCACGTTTTCAGGATGTGTCGAAAGTTGCTTGAGAGAAATGTATCACAACAAGCATCTCGTCTCTCACTTTCGTGTGACGTACATTGTATCGCAAATTACGATACATGCAACATATTTTTAGTAGTGTAAATACATATTGTTTGTGAATATATTGTAGCAAAAATATTAAAAGGAAAAACAGTTGTTGATCTTTTTTTGGCAAAAACATTCTTTCGAATATATCTTGAAGTGCAAATAAAAAACAGATTTTTTTTCTGGTTTCAATATAGATATTTTCTTCAACTAAACGCATTCCTATTTATACGCACGCCCTCAATCCATGCCATCTATTATTCTTAATATTTTCAAAAACAAAATTTACCCGCACGTCTTTCTATAGATTCATTATCGTTATTCATAGATTTCGATGAGAACTATCAATGTACTTACCATACAGTATGGAACTATCTGTTGCAGTCAACAAAAATTCCCATGCCACCATTTAAACATATACGTCCCGATCCCCAACATAGAACTGTTTTGAGTATTTAAAAAAAAAAGCATGCCCTCTCACTGCTTTCTGTGGTTTCTTTTGCATCATTTGATAGGTCTTGTTCAGATCTGTGCACTGATATGAAATCCATAGTGAACTGCTACGATTATAGAAGAATAATAACAAGGAAAGGTCCCAACTGATCCAAGCGGTTTACAATGATATTTCATCCAGAGATCAATGCTGTCAGTTGCAACTTGTTCTTTGTATCATAAAGTATTACAATTCTATTCATGCAAAGTAACAGAGCAGTAAATATTTGAAAAACCTTCGTCTAACAAATCAGTTAAAATTCAGGATCGTATTACTCTATAATAATCTAATTTTTTCTTCATTATATTTATGTAAATAATTTAGTTTTGTTTTTTCTCATGTTTTATTTTTCCATAAATAAAATGTACATCATAATTAAACGACGAATGAAGAAAAAAACAAAGAATCGATGTACAAAAAAAGATTCATTCACTGTTTTACAAGTAGCATGCGAAACAAGAAATTAGTTTCTCTTTTCTCTCTCTCTCTTATTTTCATAAAAAAAGGAAGTAATATACCAATAAAAGAACAATTTAGTTATGTTCCAATGAAAAGAAGAGGAATGTATGGATGTGTTTAGATGCCAGGCAAAATATGCACCGAGTTTATGTTGAATACGGATGTAAATGTGTTATGTCACTTCAGCATTAAAACGTCGATGATTGGATAAAGGAGTTTTTGGTACACCAAAATTCATGGACAAACCAAGTAAATCATCTTGAGGATTTCGAATTAAACATGGTTCTGATTGTGAACGTTGTAAACGTGGAAATATAAATTCAAATTTTGATAATGTATCATCAATCTAATAAAAAAAAAGCATTATATAAAAAAAACAATAATTTTCTTTCAATTAAAAGAACCTCAGGTGAAAAATTTGGTCGTTGTTCACGATGAAATTCTGAGCATTGACGAATTAATTCAACTATGGCTTCAGGTGTGTCATGACGACATTGTTCGACTTTTAATTTTAGCCGTCCTTTTCCAACGAGCCACATAATCTATTAAATAGAATAAATATTTAAATATGATCATTAATTTTATATTCATATCTATTATTTGTAGATCATTAAATAAAATGTTCTCGAATTCATGTTATGTTGACATGACATTAAGAGCTCAAGTAAATATAATGATGCTTATGGTTTGTCTGTTAAGAACTCTTCTTTCAAAATAAATGTCCTACTTAACATGGTTCATTTGAAATGAAATTTTCAGGAAAAAGTGGTCCTAATGAATAACATTTTTGTTTAAAATTTCAGCTAAACATATCAAATTAGGCTGAACTTCTTGCTTAATTCTAGGTCGTTTATGGCTTCTAAGAAAATCTCTATGGTTGTCATCTTTTTATTAGAAATACAAAACCTCAAATAATTTCAAATGAAAACCAATACTTATAGTTTGTTTTTCTCCAAACAAAATTTTGAAATTCATTTTCGTTCAATTTTGATCAGTACCTTAGTGGACTTGGTGTTGAGATAAGCATAAAAAAAGGTGATCTTATGATACTAAATTTCACTTTTCTGAATACAGAAAGCAACCATAAAAACAACATCTAGTAGAACAAAAATTTACTTTTATTTAATACTCTCAAAACAAAAACTCGCATGGGAACAAGTTCCGATTTGTCTTACTAGAAATCATGTTGTGAGCCAAAAATTATAAAAAAAAACGCAAAAGTTTTGTTGTTTTAAAACTATAATAATAGAGTCTAAACTTTTTTTCCTCTCAATTTATTAAAAGCTAGCTGTTTTGCGAACGATCACATATACATAATGCAAAATGAAATTTCTGTATATCTTCCTATGACAAAAAATTCATTCTACTAAAATGTCATCCAGATTCAAGCATGTAACTGTGATCATAACAATTAAAACTGGTGAATGCGTCATTTTTCTTTGATACAAAAACTAACCTGTTCTTTGTTACTGATTGGTGCATGAGGTAATTTGCCACTAAACATTTCAAAAAGTACACAACCATATGCATATACATCAGAACTAGTTGAATAACAGTTTGGATCTTTTTGTTGAATGACTTCGGGTGCCTTTAGAAAGAGGCAAAACAATATTTAGATTTATACATTTATTGAGAAAAAAAGAATTATGTGTACCATCCAAAGAACTGAACCAGTTGGTTGACATTGTTGATTTATACCTTCGGCTGGAACAGTTTTAACAGCAGCTAAACCAAAATCACCTATTTTCACGCGCCAACTAATTCCAACATCATCAGTTTCAGCACACATATCCAAAAAGACATTACTTGATTTAAGATCACGATGTATTATTTCTCGATCATGTAAATATCTTTTAAAGAAAAAAAAATAAAAATTTTTTTTTTTGATTAATCAAATCAGCTTACGACATTCCCTGACATATTTGTCGTGCAATATCAATTAATTGATTAATTTTCCAATGACGATCAAGTATATGAATATGTTTATACAGTGTTGAACCCTTAAATAAATAAAATTTATATATATATTGAATAATTAAATCTCGTATTCTTACTTCACACCATTGTGTTACAATAGCAAAACGAGGTGAAAACATGTATCCATAAAAATTTAATGTATTTTGATGAGTAATTTTTCTATATAAAGAAACGAAAATTAAAATAGAAAAATATTTGATGATTAAACAAACTTTAACGCAACAACTTCATTGCGAAATGCTTGATATTGAGTTGGTGTTGGTGAAACGAAATTTAATTCTTTCAATGCAACCTGGCCTAATTATTAATTACAAAACATATGATGATTCTATTGTTTGTTGGTTGTTTTTATTTACTCATACCATGTAATCTCAACTCCGCTTTATATACAGTACCATAAGTGCCTCTGCCTACCATTCTTCCATGATTGAGCAAATCTTCTGGTCGAATTTCCCATTCACTGACATATTTCTTTAAAAAAAAGAATTTCATTTTCTTTTTCACATAATACATTGAAAGAAACTTACATGTTGAGGCTTTTTCGTATCAATAACACCGTTACTATTAGGTTTAGTCATACTGGGTCGAAGACTTTCTGGACTTGCCAAAGCTGAACCATTAATAGCTATTATTAAAAGAAAAATAGAAAACTTTTGGAATTCTATAACGGAAAAGCCAAATGTGATGTGAAATCAATCCAAGGTAATCAAAAAAAAAAGAGATAATCAAATAAAGTGATTGATAGAATTCATCAGTGTAGTTTGTTTTCAATACATAGAAATCTTACTCAGTAATAACTGAGGAATGTGATGAATAGGTGATGTTGCGGATGGTAATGATGATGATATGACTGTTGATGGTGGTTGGAAGAGTGAATTCGATGATATATTCATCGTCGATTGTATAGCATTCGAAAAGTAACCAACATTTGCTGTTGTTGGCAGTGGACTACCATGCGAATCTTGACTGATGTCCTTTTGTGGACCTGTCAAGGTATAAACTGATTTATTGCTTAGGGAACGGAATAAATAAGTGATAGAAAACGAAAAAATAAACACCACCAGAAATGAAATATGTGCCATCGATAGATATAGGGTGTTTTGGGAAATTAAAAAAAAAGCAAAAACTAAAATAATAGATTCTTTTCTGATCTACCTACGCCACATATGCAGTAACATCTGCAGAGATGGTTAAAAATAGAATATAGACAGAGAGAAAACAAAAACGTTCAAAATACAAAAACAAAAGAAAAACAAAAACAACCTCTTACCAACTCCTTGAGTTGTATTTATACTTGGTCTCTAGAAAAAAAACAAATTTCAATAAAATTATATTTTTTGAAAAATCGTTATACTGATGATGGAATTCGAGGTAAACTGCGTGATTGCTCTTTGTTTCGTGATTGAGTATTTGTTCGATCCAGATTAAAACGATCCGGACCAAGCTGCTTAATGTGTCTATTAAGATTAAAAAGAAAAAAAAAAGAAAGACGAATAATAGATTTATTTGTTAACTTTTCAACAACGGAAAAAAAAGAATACAAAACACATACTGAAGAATAGGATGAGAACAAACAGGTGCTTTTGAATGACAACCATTATGATAATTATTTCCACATGAAACACAACGTTTATAAGCTTCACGAATACGATGATGACAAACAATACAACGAATATTAGTAAATACAGGAAAACGTGGTGTTGGAATAGTTTCCTATATTGATACATAGATACGAACATCAAGCTTTCACAAATATAAAAAGCAAACATTTAAATAATAAAAATACCGAATAAAATCTTGATGGACAATATGACATATATGTGATTTATGTATACATCGAGTATGTATACGAGAACCACATACAAGGCATCGTAGTCCTTGTAATAGTATTTTGTGACATACGTCACAATAAGTTAACGTAAAAAATCTTTTTCTTATCTATGAAAATAAAATATTATTTATAAGAAAAAATTCATATATGTTCTTTTAATCAAGTTCATAAAGAGCTTAAGGAGTAAAGCTATTTAAGCTAAAAATATTAACTTATTTTATTAACAAAAGCTAAACAGATATTTTCTATGTTAATGTATGACGTCAATGTTAAACGTCAGGCGTCATGAAAAATGAATACAATTTTAATAATTCTTATAGATTCTTATTTTTAAAATGTAGAATATAATACATACAAATGAATGATCAAGTTTAGGATTTTCTTCAAGTTCAATTTCTGTTTCACGTAAACGATCAAGAGTAATATCCCACGGACATGGTTGTCTTTTTAATAAAAGAAAAGAGAAAAAAGTATTTGACTAGAATAACAATATATGAAACTATACCTTGAAATCATATAAACAGGTGTATAAGCTCGTAAATTAGTTACTGAATGTCTTGAAGCACGTAATTCAAGTGCTACTTCAAGTGTTTCATCACTCCTTGGAGCAAGCTAGATTTAAAAAAGAATTAAAAAAAAACTATTTAAAAAACATTTCAATCAAAATTTACAGCAGTTGTGTGTTTATTTGGAAAATGAACACGAATAAAATTATTTGGTGTCATACTTGGACTACGTGGTCGTTGTGGAGAATCTATTGATAATGGACGATAATGATTTTTTTTGGTTGAATGATTACTTAGAAAAGATATGTTTATACCTGAATGTATTGATGATGTTGACGATGTATGTGGCTGATGAGTTTTCTCCGGTGGTGATGAACGATTTGATTGAGATATAGTTGGAGAATATTGTAATTGTTGTTGAAATTGATTATTCGTTGAAGAAACATCATTAGATGATGATGAACATGGAAATGCTTTTTCAGTATTTTGACCTTCAAGTTCATGAAGATATTCAGTTAATGTATCGCGTGCTTTTGTTAATGTTTCGATACGATCAGTTAAACGTTGAAATTCCTTTTAATGGGAGAAAAACAAACAAAAATGAAAAATATTCTTTTTGTTTTCTTACTTGCATATAAAATGGTGGTCGCGTTTCACGAAATGCTAAATTATAATTATTAACATCAGCTGTAAGATGTTTAAGCATTTTCATTAAATCATCAAGAATTTGTTGACATTTTTGAGGATCTCTATCACGTTTTCCTTCTTCAATTTTATCGCATATTTTTCGATGAAAACTATCTTCTTGATTTGTTGACTGATGCAGCTGCTTGTACGGATCCATTGGAACCGTGCCGCTATTGCTGCTTGTAGCACGATTTGCTTGAAGAACCAGAGCCATGAAAACGAATAAGTACTATAGTTTAATCATCTATATAATACTAATCAAAATAATAAACAATAAATACAATAGCTTTACTTTGATATGCAAAAATCTTGTTTAAAATATCATTTGTATGAATATCTACAATATGAGTCAATGATTAAATGGCAGTTGTCAAAATAAAACAAAAAAAATCATAGAAACAAGAAGTAGATAAGGTATTATATTACTCTCTAATGTACTTTTTTTTCGTTGTCAATACAATTATAGCAGTAATAAAATGTGTATATGTGTGAGAAAAAAAATAGAAATAAAAATAAAACAAGACAAGAATATAAGCGAATGATTAAAGCAAATTCCATGCATATTTTTTGAAGTGTCAAAGAAAAAACCTCGTATACAAAGAAAGACAACAAGCGTTGATGTCCTACATAGTCGTGAAGCGAACTTCCAACGAAGTACCGCTGTTGCAATTTCCTTCCTCTTTCTCTCGCCAATATCTGAAAAGGTGCGATGAGTGTTAGAGTAGCTGGTCTATTCTATTTTTATTTTTATGTTTTCTATATTAATTCAGTTCTCCTTTTTTTTTCCTGCACAAAGAGGAGGACAGACAAGTAACAATTGCTTATTAATAATTCATTATTTCATTGAAGAGGAAAAAAAGGACATTCATGAAAGCATGATTTCTACTATTACAAAGAAAACATTAGTACTAAATAGAAATAAATAAATTCTATTCAGATATATATTTATATGACAAAATGTACTTGTATATTTTCATTAAAGATTATACTTTAACCAAATAAATTCATAGAATATAAATATAAATATACATACATATAGAAAATAATCTATTCTAGTTTATTTCATTAAATAAGCAAACGTCTTTTTTTATAGACTGACACACAATCATTCGTTTCTTTTTCTGAAACCATTAGTAGTAACTTTTGTACTTTTTCGTTCTTTGCAACATGCAAACTGCTAGCTATATCTTTCTTTCTTTCTTTCTTTTTGTTCCTTTATATTCTGTGTCATTTTTCTCTCTCAATTGTATAAGTCATTCCCCATTATGCGGACGACGACGGCATGCGGTAGTAGAACCTTGAACAGCTCAAGGGTCGAGCAACATCGATCATCGAGGGTTTCGTATTACATGCAAAAAAAAGAAAGACGAAGCAGAATAAAAAAAGAAAACACATGAGACACATGCGTAATATTGTTTGCTACTCTATCACACTAATGATGCGCATAGACGATAGAGAATCCTATTCAGTACACCTTCATCAAAATGTTAGTCTTTTATTGTATTGAAAGAAAAAAGAACAATCTTTTAACATGGCTTCTACTATTTTTATGTCAATTGAGACTAATAAATGACATGTAATCAAAGGTGATTATTAAGATTATTGAAAAAGGAAATAACAACTTAAATAATAACATATAATTAGTCTGCTAGAATGAAACTCACTTATATGTGAATATGTTTAATCATAAAATGAATATGATGTATTGATACACTCTTTTTTCCTATTTTACAGTTATTATTCATTCGATGATTAGCCAATTGATAGATGGTTGAATGATCAAAAAGAATAATAATAACAACAACAACAACAACAACAACAGCAAGAATATATATGCACTATTCGATCCAGTTATTGATTTGTTTAGAAAAGACAACCAATCGTATGATAGAAGACATTAGAGGACGCTATTGACTTATATTCTAAAGTTTAATAGAAAAGTAATATCATAAAAATATTTAGGTTGATGTTTAAGGGTTTACCAACAGAAAGAAGGAAAGAATCGCACTTTCTATTTTGAGAAGATTTTCATTTTTTTTTCCAGCAAACATTTTTCTTTCTATTGATAAAAAGAGAATCGTAGAACGACAAAGAAAAACACCTTTTTGTCTCATACACTTTTTAAAATATTAGGAATGTATTTTTCCAGCTGTCAGAAAGGTTTTCGTGTCTTACCATGCTTCTAAAATGTTCTTTTTTCTTCACCACATCCCTTATTGATTTAAGTCATTTTTTAAGACGATGAGAACATAACCATAATGTTTTGATGATAAATATATTTAAAAATAAATTTATAAAGAAAATTTGATTTTTGTAAAAGTCTACTATTTTAACTACAAGCAGAGTTAAGTAAAATTTTCTTAGGTATGAGCAAACATAGACTTTTGAATCAGTAATTTATTACTGTTTTCGAAAATTTTCGAATTCGAATAGTCTACATGGAATTTTAATCAAACTAGAACTATCTTAAGTTTTCTTATCGCTAACGTTCACGTTTTTTTATTCCTTTAGTTTACTCAATTACGATAGTCAGTAAGTCAAAGATAGATGAATATGTTGTTTGTAGATAGATCAAAAAATTTATAAGACAAGACAGCAATCACCTTGACACTTTTGTTTTTGTTGCCTATGTAACATGCACCATATTTTGTCTTAATTCCATTTGATCATTCTCTAACAAAAAGAGTAGAGTGCGTTTTTTTTTTAGTATTTTATTTGAATAACATATGTGAATTAAATAATACTATCATGACTAACAAATATTTTTTCATAGAGAAGAGACCTTGAAATTATTCTTCATCGACATCCGACATGATTTTCTGATGCATTTCAACTTCTAGATTATTTAACAATATTTTTTCAGAAAAGTTTTCTTTTTGTTTAATCTTAGTCGATTCGACCGTTCTGAACTTCGGTCTTCTTCATATTCAGATAGAGCAATAAATATTTACATTTTTCAATTTACAAGAAATTTTTCGAATATTTGCGGATATAAAATGTGAAACTGTTTTTGTAAATCTTCTAATACTTAAAAACCAAAAGTAAAACTACCAAGTGGTTCGTACACTTATGAGAATAACAAAGCACTCAGTAGGCAAAGTTAGAAATATTCAATGTTATATATGAAAAAGATTTTAGGAAACAACAATTATCATCTAGCATTAAATATTTTATTGTCAACTATATTTTATAATTCAGTATTTTGCTTTTATTTCTAATGAAATACTAAATTAAATCAGGAGAGATTGTGTTATTCATTTATTAATTAAATGATGAAAATCCTATATTATTTAGGACAATGGGAATAACCATTTAATTGAATTGGGAAATTCTCGTTTCCAAAACCATTCTTGATGTTGACCATCAGCAGCAACAATCATTGTCAATTGATTCTTATCATCTCTATATTCTTTTGTTGTATTTTTTAATAAATTAACCATTCGTTGCATATCACTAATCATTGTCGAACTTTCTAATTGACCTCCAACAAAATAAAGTCTAGGTGGTGAATTTTTGAAACGATGATTTTGAACATATGTGTAAATATCATTTGTAAACCAAAATGATGGACTAAAAACTCCAATTAGTCCAAATGTATCTTCATGCCGTACAGCAGCATAAAAACTACAAAGACCACCAAGTGAACTGCCTAATATTGCAGTATTTTCACGTTCAGGTTTTGTACGAAAATGACTATTTATATATGGTCGAAGTTTTTCTACAATAAAATTTAAATAGTTATCAGCTTGACCACCACCATAATTTGTATTTGAAAATGGTGTTAACTCATTAATACGTTCTGAACCACCATTATCAATACCAATAACAATTAACTCTTGAGAAAGTGTGTCAAGACTTTCATCAATACCCCATTCACCAGAAAATGATGTGCTAACATCGAATAAGTTTTGACCATCATGAGCATAAACAACTGGATAACGTCGATTTAAATCAGTTGAATAACTACGAGGAAGATAAATCCAAATACGACGTGTACGAGGAAAATAATTCCACATAGAAAAATTTGTATCTAAGATATAAACTTGATTTGAAGCTGTATGAACACGACCGAATGTATCGGACCATTGCTCGACTGATATATCAATCGATTGAGGACTATTCGACTAAAGAATATATGAAAAACCCTTTAATAAAAAATTCATTGAAATTGTAGAATTTTATATTTTACAGAATCAAGGGACGGGACATAGACGAAAATATTTTAGTCCATTTTGATTATTAAGGCCCACTCTAATTAAACCATATATAGAATGAAAGATTATGAGCTCCCGATCAATTCGGCTCCTAATTCGAAATGTTTTGAATGGATTTTAGGTGCAACCTCAGTTGACTTTTGTCAAATACTAAAGTAAAATTTGACCATTATTGATAGCCAATAGAATGTAGCGTCATTTGAAAGAAAACAAATAGAGCTCAAGTTAAAAAGTTATTCTGGTTGGCTCTTGTTCCAGCTATGTTTTTATATTAAAATCATTCATTGAAAGAAAAGACTTCGATTCCAATAGATTGAGTGCGAATCTTCCTTATTTGTACTTTGACTTTATATTATGCATGATCATCACGTTTGACGTTTTATTATTTTTATAAGTGGAACTTCCACCCAGTTTCGTCCACTTCGTATTTCATTGAGATTTTCAAGCACTACAAAACTAACTACTTTTCAAGATCTAAAAAAAAAAGTAGACACTTAAACTCACTATGCTTGGTGTCTAATTTTCGGCTTTTTTATTTTTATATCTTGTTTAGACTCAGCACTAAAATCCGAATATATGAATATATATTTCAAACTTGGTCTTCAGTTAAAGTGTTATTCTTGATTGTCATCAAGGACAAATGAAAAATGATTCTTATCAAAAATTCATTTCGACAGTGGAAAACAAGTTCTCAATTTTTAAAATATAATTTGAAAACAAAAAAAAATAGTTGATTTGATTAGATTCATTTTTTCACACATCTGTGAAGGGGATTCAGGTGTGAAAGTTTAATCGGAAAAACGTGACAGAAAATGTTTGAAACATAAATAAATCGACTCTGTTATAAGGTGTCAATTTCAAAGCTGATATTTGTTTGGAGTTTAATGGATATTGTTCTGCTGGAAAATCATCAAATATCACTTAAAAGCAGTTAAAAATTGGGTCTCATGAATACTAAACTTTAAATTTTGTTGTGTGGTGTACTTTTTAGCTCGTAAAA